ACATTTTATTACTTCGGGCTTCCTTGAAAATCGCCGTATGCTTGGGTTGGATCTATTGTTCCTTTACCACTGAAAGCAGTGAATTGTGGATTCTAAATTTCTAGTTCTTCAGAAATGTTTGCATCTGCATAACAAGATATGAAACATTCTGAGGTCAACTTTGAAGACTTTGTAGAAGGACTTTTAAATATCTCATAAGGAGTAAATTCAGTTTCATTTTTCTTTTTTTTTTACCTTTAGGGTCCATCTTATTCTGTGGAAAAGACCACTTGTTCTCAAAGATTTCATAACCTTTTTCTTTTTGTTAGTTGCATAATTTAGTTAAGAGAACTCGTACTGAAAAGATTTGTGATTTGAAGACTGTTTTCTTTACTGAAAAGCAGTTTTGTTTTTTTTTATTCATAGTGCCAACAGAAAAAAAATACTTGCTACCTCTGTCTCTCTCTAGATATCTAAATTTATCTTTGCACTGTTATCTTGTACTACTTTGGAAAATATTCAGACTTACTTAATAGCCAGTCACTCTTTATTTTATTTTATTGTATTGAGTTAATCTGTCTAAATTTTCTGGGGAAAATATTTTCAGTGAATAAGCTTTTCTGAGTGTAGTTGTTACCTTCACTTTTAGTATGATCTAATCGATAATTCAGCCACCTTTCTCAACTTCTTGACTCATATGGCTTCAGGGTTAGACAAAGTCTTCACCAACTTCAGAACCAGTTCATATGGATCTGTGTGAAACACATTTGCAGAAAAAATCATATATTCATGATTGTACTTTGTGTCTGAGAGCATGTGAACCAGTTTCATTTCAGATTAAACTAATGTGGGAGATGCTCCCCAGTCAGGGATTCAAACCACAGAATCAGACTAGAGTTGAAATGTTCATAGCAGGGGCATCAGGTTCTCAGTACCGAGATGTAGCCAGAATCACCTGAAGACTGGCAGTTTGGGCATTTTCTTGAAAAGGTGCTTGTGCGTATTGACCTTTCCATGCACATGTCTGAACAGCTGGCCTAGTAGTTCTATTTCTGTATTTAAAATAAGAAAAACCAGTTGGAGGAACTATCCAACAGTGTTGCCCTTCTTCTTCTGTGGTTGGCATGACTTCTAAATTAAAAATAGTAGGATGGAAGGAAACACTGCTGAAATCTAGCCCCTCTACAGGCAACATCTCCTTGATAAAGGTGCCCTCCTACAGTTCTGAGTATACAGACTCCTGAGTAATGCTAAAATAGGAGCAGCCCATCATCACCAGGCAGTAGGATGAGATCTGCAGGGAGGGCAGTTTTCTTCCCTCAGGTGGGATGGATTTTGCATGGATAACAAACAACTGTGCCAGGCTGTGAATCTGCCATGGTAAGCCTCAAGTTCTGTTACTAGATTCTATCACGTAGAAAGAAACTCTTAAAAAGTTACCAAGTGTCCTTCCTTTTTCTCTGCTCCACAGCTCAAACTGAAACATGCTGCAGAAGGCTGTCCATTTTGTCAGAAGTTGGCATTTTTAAAAGCAAAAAGTGGTAATCAAAGAATGATTCATCTCTGAAAACACATTTCCTTTTGCTATTAAGGTAACAGTAGAATAACAGAGATCTTTCAAAGTATTTATGCAAAGCAGCATATTATTAAGCTAGTAATGTAGTCTAAATTCAAAGGACAAGATCAGGCTGCTTTAACTTCCTCTGTTGGTGCTCTGGTTTGCCTATCACAAGAAGACAGCTGTAGATCAGAAAACAGACACGCTCCTGGCAAGTGATGGGTCTGTGTGAGCAAGAACTTCCTGTGAGATATTGAGCCGGTCACGGGCAGCTGCTCTGAAATTTGTTAAGTAATCTATCTAGTATGTCTAAGGAGTAGCATATCCAAATCAATCCATCCAAATGCCTCAGGAATATCAATAAATAGATAATAAATCTGATCATTCTCTGTGATCTGCTCTGGTGTGAAGCTGCTGGGGAAGCCTTCTACAGGATGAAGATTAATTCTAGTACACGTTTGTTGTGGTCACAAATGCTCTGTGCCAGAACTGTGGCTGGTGAAAAATTCATTTCAAATTAATTTCAAACTTTATTTTGTGCACTAATCTGCTGTCATGAAACTGAATGGCAACAAATGGCAATCACTGATAATGTTTTCAAAAGGGGAATAGACCCAAGGTTTGCAGAAGGAGCTTTCCATCCTTTTTTTTTTTACTTTTGTGAATTTCCCACTTAATTTCTGTTCAGCAAAAGAAACATTTCACTCTTGGTTATTGTTCTAAATGTTAAACCATAGTAGTGATAGCAATAAACTGTTCTTTAATATAATGCAGGAAATACAAAGGCCGAAGGGGTAATAAATGTATTTAGATAGTTAATATCTTTACCAGATTAGTTATTTAGTTATCGGTCCTTTATGAGAAGTTAAAAAAAATACCCACTGTTCAGGCACAGTCCTGAAAATCAGTATGTTTTTTGTTTCATTAGACTGTGTGTCCTGGTTGCAGCTTAAACACTGACACTGTGGTAGGTATAGAATCAAGTATGTAATCTAGAAAAGGTGTCATATATAATTTATTATTTTTCCATTTGTCACACTATCTCAAAAACCTTTAGGAAAGAATCCTAGCTTCTGCTTCTGACTCTGATGTGAAAGGAGTGACCTTTCTCAGGGCAAATAGGAAATATTTTTAATGTTTGAAAACCTCAGAATTCTGTTTGTGAGCTCCACTCTAAAAATTATCAAATATTTGGGACTAGCTGCATCTTCTCAAATTAACTTCAGAGGCCTTGAAGATCAAGACTAATACTTTAGCCACCTACATCTTGGTCAGTGAAAGAAATTGGTATTTATTTTAAAAATAAAGAGCAGAAAGGAAGAGTTGAAGTTTCAATTTACAAAAATAAAAGCAGAGCAACTGTTAATTCATGTAAAACACTATTTTCACAATCTGAATCTGCTAAATTTCAGCATTTGGATTGTAGACGTTTTAAAACTTTACAGATTGTAATTTTTTTCCCACATTCCTAAATTTTTGCTGCACGAAAATCTGACTATGCCTTAAAATCAAACAGAATAGTCTTTGTCCTCTTTATTCATATTACCATACTATCATAGTGTCTGCCTTCTGCAAATCTAGATAAGGAAAAGTTTGTGTTGAAAGCAAAGTAGATGGTGGACTCCAAGTACCCCCCTACTCTCCATCAGTGAAGTCTTGTCCCTCAGAAATACCAGATCTGCTGATGGCACTTCATAGACTCTTTCTCATTGACTCTTGGAAAAGGGGAAGAGCACTGTAATGTCTGTCCAGACAGGGATGGCTGTTCAGCACTGCTCAGCATGAAGTTTTCAGGATATCCTCTTTTCCTTTTTATATCAATTTTCTTTTTAATTTTATTTTTTTAACAGACAAGGGATCTTCCTTTCTTTTCTGCACATTTTGGAAAAATCCCAGCCTTTAGTCCCTCAGGGGCTGCTCTGGTGATGGGCTGAGAAGGTGTAGCCCAGAGGGCAGAGTGTGGAGGTTTCATGTATGAAAGAGAACAAGTAATACAGGACTGGGTCAGCAGCTTGTTTGAAGTTAGGCCTTGGCTGTGAGCAGAACCTTACTGCAGAACCTTTAGCAGACGGTTCAATCCACAGAATTCTTAGGGCTTGAAGATTTTATTTAAGTGTTTATATTTTACTCTTTTATCTTTTCATCTTTTACTTTGGTGCAGGGCATTGATATTTCATGGTAATTTGTTCCTATTCCATTTACCTAAACTAAGTGGTTATTCTCATTCCCTATCCAAGAGATGAATTGTGATAGCATTTAGCATGTAACATCTCAGTATCATAACATTTAGTTTGGGGGTTTTTTCCCCTTCCTGATATTTACCTCGGAGAGTTATAAGGAAGAATATTTTATTCGCATTCTTCAGGTAGGCATTTGGTTTACGATCTTCTCAGAATAGATTATTGACGATATCTATTTTTTGTCTTCAGTCCCTAAAAGAACTTCAAACTCAGAAAGACACTTTGTTGCAAGGTATTTTCTTCTTGTCTTAAAATGATATACTTAAACTGTGGTCTGCATACTGTCAGCGAGGTTCTGATGCGCCAAACCAAGATGGTAGGGATGATATGAAGTTGTTTGTCCTTCATACAATAAAGGATTAGTCTTATGAAAACTTTATTGCCTCTGTATTGAAGTTTTGCATGTGGGCAAACCATTGTGAATTTGGCTCAAAATCTGGTGATGCCTGTGAAAAGAGAATGTTCGAAAATAATGTTTATAGAGTTCGTATTTGTTTAATAGCATTTGTATTTCTTGTGGTATCAGCTTGCTCTTTAATAATCAACTTCTCCTTCTCCATTTTCCCTTTGTGTGTGTTCACACTGGTTGCATTCAAGTCCATGTGGATTTAGGAGCAGAAGTCAGCTTCCACTTTGGTTAATGCATTATTGGAAAAATTAATGAAATAACAATAATACTACCATCAATCGGACATACATAGACTTCTGTAGTTCACTGAAGTCTAATTCTACAATGCTTATTTCACACTTCTGCAATTGCTATATATTTTGAAACTGTTACCATGATGTTCAACATTCTATTGTATACCGGATACTTGGCAAATACAAGAAAGCTTATAATCCAAAGCAACAATGTCTTTACTTCTAACTGGCAAAAATCAGTTTTTCAAAGAAAAGCACTTTTTATATTTATAAACTGAATTGGGGTTACTGATGATGATGCGTAGATGCATAACCCATAAAACATAGTCGAGTTTGCCAGTTTGAGGAGTGGTGAAGCTTATTTGTTTTTGTTTGTTTTTTGTTTTAGTTTGGCTTGGGGTTGTTTTGTTTTGTTTGTGGAGTTTTTTGCTTGTTTTTTTTTAATGTTTGGGTTTTTTTCCTTGTGAAACATCAGACTTAATAGGCATGAATTATATAAAAATAATCTTGGAATTATACAGTGGAGTGTTTTTACAGAGTCTTTGTTTCTGAAAGAACCGTGATTTATCTTTATGTTACAGATCTGGAAGGTAACATTTTCTGTAGATGAAAACTTCTGCCTGCTGTGATATCCCACTCTTTGAGTGATGCCACATGCAGCACTGAGTAGTACTGGCAAACGGAAGAGATTTCGTGGAATAAGGTAGGTTTATTTCTTTCCCATGAGGCTTGATGAAGTTCTTCATAATCGCTTTTCTCTTTAATATAAATTAAGTCAAACAGGTATTCCCAGTCTTCCAAATTTTGGAACAACATTAGTAATCTCAGAGCTATTGCTGCTATTGCTTGGTTGTACCTTTAAATTTATTGGCAGAAGATATTTTCAAGGTATCACCATTTCACTGCAGCAAAACCCACCATTCGCAATCAGCAACAGAAACTAAGAAATTAAAGGACTTATTTAATTATTCTTTATGATAGTAGTAACTTCTATAATGTGAAAAATTCATTGCTTGTAGTTTTAAGGACTGTTGGAACATGTGCAGAAGAATCAAGTGTATATGATGTTTCTTCAACGTGGTGCTGCAGAAAATGGAATGGAGCAAATTTGAGCTAGGAAAGCGAGAAGAGAATATATATGAAAAGCTTAGAGCTTGGGAAATAGGGACAGGACCCCTTGATTAGCAAATCCTGGAGTACTGCAGGGTAATTTTAGAAGCTTGACAATGGAGGGAGCAGTTCTGAAAACAGTGTTGTGCTGGATCCAGATTGCACTTCACCTTGACTTGCCATTGGTTTTAGTGGCTTCTTCTTTTCCTGAACAAAGCTATTAATGCATCCAAGTGTTTTACTGTCCTACAATGTTCTATGAGCTTTCATTAGTCTCCCAGTTTTGTTCCAAAGCATTCTTGGAATGTTGTGACTGTTACCTGTGACTACAAGTATACTCTGTTGTCCCTCTGTGCATGTGTCATCAGAAGGAACAGATCTTAATTAATGTTCCATAACCAAGGCCATTTCCTAACAGAATGGTTTAATGACTGATTTTGAGAAAATTTGCTTATTATTAATGTTGTTGTTGTTTTTATTATTGTTATTATTATACGTCATCTCTGGTCAAAGTGCAGTGAAATGAATAGACACAGCCTAATGACATCGGTTCCAGTTTAATATTTTCTCACTGGTGGTAAAAGACATATTGAGGTGAAAGTTTGTTACTTAAACATGGGACTGGTAAATATGACACAAACCCTGCAATAGACCCACGGCCATCTGGAATGGCAGCTGAGCCCTTGGCAGGATACCCTAGGGTATGCAAAATGCACAAGTTGCCTATGCTTAGCGCTCCTATCCTATATGTTAGATATAGTTTCCCTCAGGAAACGATACAACTTAACCTGATTCAGTTTGGATCGTGATAGGTTGTAATCTCAGATTCAGATGTGATGTTGGATGTGAGGTGTACTTGGAGACCTGTAAGGAAAGAAGGGTTGAAATGAAGCAAGCGAGGCAACAACTAGGAGGATGTTAGACAGTAGGGGGGCTCAATTTATCTTATTTTGATTGCTTTTTCTACTTATACTCTTCATGGGCTAGCAACTCACCACTTTCAAGTGAGTGACATCTTTTCTGAGTTGTTCTGTCATGCATTATTTCACAAAAAGAAATGTATTAATTGCTCTATGCTGTACTGCATCCCCTCATTGTGTACCAAGTGTAAGGGAAAATATTACGGTTGGTATGTGACATGTGGAACTAATTTGCCTCCATTGGAGTTCAGGGAGAGGTCTTGGCTATTACAGTGGATGAAAACATTATGAATTTATAGGCACCTCACCTCATGATGCTTCATTTGTAGTTTACATTTGTGGTGATATACTATGAATAAAATATGGGGACCATATTCCATTGAGATCAGTAGGAGTTTTTCTCTCAAATTCTACTAGGCCATGACCCTGAGAATCTCTGCTGGCTCCTGGTAAAAGATTTGTTCTGTTCATGCCTCTAACTAGACCTCCTCTGAGGACTTAGTTTTTAATATTGCTACCAAATCTGCTTCTTAGGTAATAATTCTCTCTTATTGAAGTTTATTTGTACTTTATTTGGGGGATCCTATACTCAAAGGAAAACATGTTTCTATACCTATATTTTTCTATCTTTAAATATGGCATATTGTTAGCGGTAATTATAGACTGACTCTCAGGAAATAGTATCTGATAAAAAGAGAAAGGACTTCAGAATAATTTAGGAAAGGATAGGGTGGCAATCCTGCAGGTAAGATGTAATATTAAACTATTCTGCTTGTTGATGGCTACAAAATGAACTAGATCACTTAACAGCTCTTTAATATCACCAGTTTCTATGACTGCAAATTCCTTGAGTGTATTGTGGATTTTCCTTTATCAACTCTTTGGATTTGATAGGCTTATTTTTGTCCATGAGTGAAAAGAATTATTCTTGCTTTAGTAATAGACTCTTTCACGCTCCTACTGTCGGAGCATGTACCGCCCACAGGCCATTCATAACTTACAAACCCTTTTACTACAGGGCATCAAAATTCTTATTTTCTACATAATATTGCTTCTCTATCAGCTGATGTGTAGAGTACTTTGCTCTGTATTCCACTCATTGTATAGAGCAGGCATAAGAGTATGTTAAAATAGTTGCATGACGTCTGAAGCTAAATTTTGCTTGGCAAAAACATGAATGCTACATCAAAGCTGTTTCTAACCCTAAAATATTTTTTAATGTGAGGATTAATTGCTTTTGAAAAAAAGGGACATGTGAAATGCTGAGTGTGCTCTCATCCAATATCTGATTTCACTGTTTCGGTATCTCAGGTTCATCAGCTCCTATTGGAAGTTTTGCTCTCTTGGTGGATCTTGTTTTAGGAAACTCACAATGCTTTTCATTAGAAATCCTTTCCAGTTCAGGATGGGTTTTTAGAACTACATCAGTACACAGTTTATGTAGTGTATGTGTGCATATATATGTGTATGCTCAAGTGTCTGTTTATGTTGGGATTTTGAAGCTGAGTGGTAGAAATATTTTAAAAATCTTCTCTTTGCATGTTCAGGCCAAAGTGTCCGTACAAATGCTCCGTTATACTTTGTTATATAGAGTTATGCCAGAAGGGAAGGCCATGAAGGTGTTAAACCATTTATTACCTATTCCTATGGTGCTAATTTACCATTTTATGCTCCCTGCATTTTGCATCATTCCTTTACAAGTATGTACAAAGCATATTTTCTGTCTCAAAATGCCTTGCTGAGGCATTGCTCCCATAGATAATTATCCTAGCTTTGGCACTTCCTCGTGTTTGAGACGGTTAACTTTGCAGAGGGGATGGGGGGTAGGATTATTTTCACCAGGGAAGAACATGATGTCTGTTTACCATGGGTATTGCTGCATTTAGTTCTGTGTGCTCTTCCTGGTTTGTTGCCTTCTCTACTGAGCTGTGGGAGATATTTAGGGCAGTCATGTTGTGTACATGTATATTATATAAATAATAAACCAGAATACTCAATCTTGCTAGTTCCTGTTCCTTCATACTCATGAATTAGTATTAATCCTTTGCTTTGTTAATTAACTTGCCAAAGCAAACAACTTGCTCACCTGAAAGAGTACCAAGAAAACAAGATCCTAATGCTCTTCTCATCACAGTTGTCCCAGATGTTAAGGTGTTTGAAGTATCCTGTAGGTAGATAATCTTAAACTAATTTGTAAAGAACCTAGTATAAATAAATCCATTTTTTATACAAGATTTCATAGTGATAAGAATGTTTGATGGAGGAAAAATGATTCAGTGCAATTTGTAACTTGGAGAGCGCAATACATTTGCCTCCTTTTTCAGTATAATCCAAAGAGTTCATCTGTTGCACAATGTTCATTTTTAATTAAACATTTTATCATCATGCAGACTTTTATTGACATTCCTCATAATAGAGCTGATAAGATCTTGACCTGCTCTTCAATACAGCGATGTATAACTCAATATTCTGGCACACACTGTTCCCTTCAGAATTAAACATACGATTTTCTGATTTAATTTTAAAATCTTATGTACTTTTAGTCACATTTATTTACTTTTAACTTCTCAGATTTGTCCCCTTTTTGACTTATGCAATTTGGATGCAACCATTTCTTGGACTATTACTCCTGTTTGCTTGAGCTTTTATCCATCTGGAAGATTTTATTGAATTTTTTTCTCCTTTCTTTTCCTCTCTAAAATTTGCAATGAAAGGTGATTTATCGCCTAATCTTGTTTCCTACTGTACCTTTTGAGTCCAGTTTTGATTAGATACACTAACTTCACTCACTACTGCCTTAATCACAGGTTTATAGAATTTCTACTATCACAGAAACTCCTTCAGTTATTTCATGAGAAGAGATTCCTGAAGATGTCCCCAAAGATGAATTGTGAAGCAGACCCCTGTCGGTAACCTTAAAGAATCCTGTGATGTAAAGCTGCCCATGATCATGTGTTTAGCCATCCTGATAAGCACCTCTGTAGCTGGGCAGGATTTTGTCACCTGCAGGAGGGGAATCAACCCCCTCAGTTGGTAGCAGCTGCTGTGGTGCTGCTGACACAGGAGACATCTGGACACAAACCAGGAGTTAGTTGGCCATAGAGCAGCATCCAGAGGAAATAAGCCTAAATCTCTTTTCCAGGGTTTGCTGTCTCATACATTAGGTTTTTTATGTCAGAAACTGTAGTGAAAACCAGAATTCTCTAACATTTTGCTGCAGCAAGTCACCCCTTTTGAGTTGAGCACCCACTATACTCACCTAGGTACCTGAAGACCATCAGGTGTTGCAAGACCCAATTTTTTCAGTAATTCCCTACCCTACCCAGCTGTATCAGCTGTCTCAGTTGATAATCACCCAACTGCCCTGTGCTTCTCTTCCATATTTTGTAAAGCAGCTCTTGCTGTTTATCCTTCTCCTTGTGTCCTGGATCTGTCACTGCTCACTATAAATGTATATTGATTTGAGCTGAAAATATTGAGATAATTTAATGAACTAATTTGAAATTGCTTTATCTAATAAACAGCATATAGTGCAGAACTCCCTAACACTTTGGAAGAGTTTTAAAGGTGGGGAAATACTCAACTATTGAGGATATATTCTTTATGCCATTGCACATTTTTTATCTTGCTTTGTCAGCATAGCAGAAGTTAAAAATTGCATAGGGCCTCTGAC